GAACTTAATATTAAGTCATTCAAAAGCTTACAAACTGTTTTTTTGGCAAGTAAAGGTCTATAAAGGTGGCGACGCTATGCAAAGTAATAGAAATGAAGTACGAAGACATCATAAAGCAATGTAGAAGTACCCTAGAGCTGACAAGGCATAAGGTGACTACAGTCAAATTATAAGGTTGAGGATCGTCTGTTAATCATATATAAATGAATAAACCTCAAATTTCCTAAAGTATATCTGCCAGCATTTAAGGCAAATATCAGCCAGTTATGTCTGTTGAGCAATTTGGGATTGTATTCATAAGTGAAGTTGGGAATTGAGATGGTGTTCACAGTGGCAATGACCGGCAAGGGCCACAGCAACCTTAAACAACAGTACAATTCAGTGTTGTAGGCCAGTGGTTCTCAACCTGGGGGTAGCGATATACAAAAATGTAGGTCTCAAGATACAAATAAAACAACATATTTGAATCTCCAAACACATATTTTATATCGGGAAAGCCTTTAACAAGGCATCACCTCTAGCAGTTATTTCATCTTGTTTAGCTGTGGGACACACAGTAATCACATGCATCTACCACTGAATGTGTAGAAAGTATACAAACAATCAATGCGTTTGCATTAGAGTTGGTTATGTACACCAACAGTAGTATTCCAGGATGTCGCAACACAAAAAGGTTGAGCAATAAGTAAGTAAGCTGGCGAGAATGTATTAAAATAACTTGAAGTGTGCCTTTTGTATACTCGATTATTCACTAGCTATGTAGAAACCTCTCTTTGCTTTTGCAGTTTGTGAGAAGCAGCAGGCCGACCTGGTCTTCCTGCTCGATCAGTCCAGCAGCATCAACCAGGACGACTACACCATCATGAAGAAGTTCACCACAGATCTAGTGAACAGCTTCAAAGTGAGTGAGGAACTAGTGCGTGTCGGGCTCGCTCAGTTCAGCAGTGATGATGTAAACCATGAGTTTGACCTCAACCAGTTCAACAGCCAGGAAGCGGTGAACAAGCACATCTTGAGCATGACGCAGAGAGGTGGAAGCACATATATCGGACTGGCCCTGGACTCCATCAGGGGTTATTTCGAGGCGTCACGTGGCAGCCGAAGATCTGCCGGGATCTCCCAGAATCTGGTGCTGATCACAGACGGGAAATCTCAGGACGACGTTGAGGATGCCGCCGATCATCTCCGAGCTCTGGGCATCGAGGTGTTCGCCATCGGCATTGAAGACGTCCACGATCTGGAGCTCCTGCAGATCACGGGAACACCGGAGAGGGTGTTCACCGTGAACAACTTCGGCAGCTTGGATGAAGTCAAGCAAAAGGTGTTTGAGGCAATCTGCAAATCTAAACTCCATATTCATGGTGAGTAGAAACGTGAGGTGTCACAGATTAAAAACAGTCGCTGTCTAGAAAGCGATGAGTCAACCAACCAATACATATAACACAACATTCATATGTCTATTCTTCTGAGTTCTTTTACTGCTTGGAGACATGCTGTCCTCCTAGTCAGTGAGCGCCCTAAATTAAGTAACATAAAGCCTTTTATAGAGAGACAACAAATAATCAATACATATAGGTCTTAAAAAACGATTTGTTCCAGGGGATTTTTGCAATGAGGTTAACTGATAACACCAGGACAACTTGTTTTTAATTCCTCTTTCTAAAGTGTCAATTCCTAAACATCAGAATGCCGCCTTCCAAAAAATTACAACACTTAAAGATACCATTTATTATAGGTTACATATTAAAAAAGCTGTACACTTTATTCTGTGTTGGACCATGAAGGCAGCATCTTCTGTTCCAATGGGATTTCTCCATGTGATTTTGGATTATTTGCAGAAAATAATCTCTGTGTCAAACATACGTTGATGATATTTACACATTTAGTTCAGCAGGATAATCTCATTAAAAACACCACTTTAAGATTTCTTAAATCACTTTTAAATCTGTGACAATCAATTTCATTACTTGACTCTGGTTACTGTTCAGAGTATCTCAGGCTGATGGTATGAGATCTGTTTCTTTGTCCCTGACAACAGGTCTTTTTTCAGTTGTTGGAGGAGAATGACTCTCTCTCTCTCTCTCTCTCTCTCTCTCTCTCTCTCCAGATAAACTGCTTCAGCCCAACATCTCTG